TTTGTTTACGTTAAAAAAAAAAATATTGCGAAATTATATCCGGGGAACATACGGCTAATATATGTATATATTTATAAGAAAAGAGAAATGCGAGCAAAAAAAAAGGCACACATTTCCCGTGTAATTTGGTCCTTGCCTATATCGTTGTCCTTATGGTGAGGAACATACGATACCACCCCCGTTAGCATATAAAAGCGTGATCGACGTAAAATAACACCTGGATGATAAACTTGCAAAATATAAAACGATTTCGACGTATATTAGAGAAAAATACAGAAAATAACAATTTCCTTTGAATATAATATCTCTCTTGCTTGAATTGATGTTACCAAAGCCATTATAGTTTCTACTAGTGAATTCAAATTATAAAAAGGAAAATAAATAAAAGAAAATTAAATTATTTGGTTTCCCCACTAGAAATTTTGCCAGGGCCCAGATCGGGGCCGGATCAGGCTGCCCTATTAGGCAATGAAACGCCGCGCCTGATGTGGCCCTGATTAGGAAATCCACATTTCGCCCTGATCAGGTGTGGCGTTTCATTCCCTACTAGGGCCCTGGTAAGGCAATATTTCTACACTCACAGGGCCATCGTTGGGAATGTAACGCAACGCCTGATCAGGACCAGAATGTGACTAGAAAATGTGGATTTCCTAATCAGGGCCATATCAGGCGCAGCGTTTCATTTCCTAATAGGGCGTCCCGATCTGGCCCCTATCTGGGCCGAGGCAAAATTTCTACACACCGATTATTTGAATTAAATTTTTTTTTAGTACAGGAATCACAATTTTAAATCGTGATATTCAGACTAAAAAAAAAATTATGTTTACCCCAAAATCGGTATAAAAATTAACTACAACTTTATCCTAGTTGGGGGCGCCACTGTCAAAAAATTTATTTGATTCAAATAATCGGTGTGTAGAAATTTTGCCATGGCCCAGATCGGGACGCACTATTAGGCAATGAAACACCGCGCCTGATGTGGCCCTGATTAGGAAATCCACATTTCGCCCTGATCAGGTGTGGCGTTTCATTTCCTACTAGGGCCCTGGTAAGGCAATATTTCTACACTCACAGGGCCATCGTTGGGAATGTAACGCAACGCCTGATCAGGACCAGAATGTGACCAGAAAATGTGGATTTCCTAATCAGGGCCATATCAGGCGCAGCGTTTCATTTCCTAATCAGGGTGTCCCGATCTGACCCCTATCTGAGCCATGGCAAAATTTCTACACACCGATTATTTGAATTAAATTTTTTTTTAGTACAGGAATCACAATTTTAAATCGATATTCACACTAAAAAAAAAAATTATGTTTACCCCAAAATCGGAATAAAAATTAACTACAACTTTATGGGGGCGCCACTGTCTATGTGAATTATAGTTAAAATTACCCGCAACAAAATTTATCCATCGTTTTTTCTGTGTTTTATAATATAAATATGATGCGGCCCTGATTTTTTTTTGCCACACGATCGTAAATATAAAAGAGTCTTTTGAACGGAAGTATCTATATCTCTTAAGCTTCTTGCATTAAATCGTATACATAGCGCATACGTTTTCTGTATGCGATGAAAATTTAATCAAACATCATGTCAAATCTCGTGGGAAGCGTCTTAGAAGATTAAAATAAACGTGTGTAACTATTATCAAAAAAAAAAAATTCGCATATAAGGTCTTTATACTTTCTCACATTAAATACACGCGAAGATTAGATGCCTACTGAGAAAATTTCTCTCTAAACGAGACTGGTGTGCACTGATTGTGCAACTCCTTCTTTTGCAAACTAATGCGAGGTTAAAGTGTAACTTGTTCCCATAGTATCACTTTTCTCGTCGTTTGTTTTTTTTTTTTTGAATTTAATTGTTTTATATGGAAAAAAATTTTATAGTCAATTACTTTGACTATTATCAAAATAAATATTTACTAACTTGAACCAAATAATATTTATTTGTATGCGAAATAAACAATAATTTCTGTATTTATATATAATTTAATTTATTTATTAAGTTGAAAATAAAAACCAAAAAATTATTTGGTTCAAGTAAATATTTGATAATAAAGTAACCGATTATTTGAATTTTTTATTTTTCGCCTGAGAAATAATTCTATACTTCTAAATGTAATTTCTCGTTTACCTTCCTGAATTGTTTCAAGCAGTGAACGACATTTAACCCGGCTCTCTCTTCTGCTAATCGTGAATTACGAATCACGACCGTTCCAAACACCGTATAAACTATTTATATATATATATATATATATATATATATATATATATATATTATTGCGTCTAGAAATCTCTCTATATATAAAATACGGAAGACTATTGAGCAAATGATCGAAAAAAACGGGACCGTGAAAACAGTACGGTTCATCATGCACCTGCAAACGTTTATATTGTTTTAGGATCGCCAGGTAAAGATGAGTTTCATGCTTCATGCCTTTGAGAATCTCCTCTGGACCGAGTCATCCGTAACTTTTGTAAATCATTCTATTGGGGGGTCAAAATCTCGAATCGGAAACTTTTTCTGAATAAAGAACATTTAATTTTGAATTTAAACAAGAAAATCCAGAATTTGGAAATATATACACTGAAAAAAAAATTAATTTGAATTAATTAATTCGGTTACTTGATTCTCTCTAAATCTGAATTAGTAAAAATGTTTACTAATTTAAATTAGTGACTCACTTTTTGCTTTAGAATTAGTTAAAAGTTACTAAAAATTAGTAAAATTTTACTAATTGAGAAGCAAAAAGTGAGTTACTAATTGAAATTAGTGAACATTTTTACTAATTCAGATTTAGAGAGTTATTATCAAATAAATGTTTACTTGAACCAAATAATTATTATTTAATTGATTAATAAACTAATTATTATTTACTCTCTAAATCTGAATTAGTAAAAATGTTTACTAATTTAAATTAGTGACTCACTTTTTGCTTTAGAATTAGTTAAATTTTACTAATTGTTAGTAAAAGTTACTAATAATTAGTAAAATTTTACTAATTGCGAAGCAAAAAGAGAGTCACTAATTCAAATTAGTAAACATTTTTACTAATTCAAATTAGTAAACATTTTTACTAATTCAGATTTAGAGAGTAAAATGGTATTTGTTTCAAATACAGAAATTATTGATTCAAATACAGTTTATTTAATTCACATATTTGGTTCCATTAAATATTTATATTTGTAAGTAACCGATTATTTAAACCAATAATAAATTTTTCAGTGTATTTAAGGAAGTGTAAAATCAACTTTTACCGAGAATAACTTCCTGATATTAAATAAAAACATTCATTAAAAAAAAAAAAAAACAAGAAGCCTTTCTTAATTTTACATAATTGAATGAATAAAGATAAATAAATTTGACGTTATTTTCAAATCTTATTTTAAAAAATATACAATTGCATTTGCAAAACATTTTTTTGTTTAAATTAAAAAAAAACGTGACATTTGTTAAAAGTAAAATAATATAGTTTTCTCAATTGGAAAAAATCGATATGGAGATCATCGACCCCAGAAAGGACAATGTGTCAGGAAAATGCTCTCGCGTTGATTGTCATGAAGTGAAGAAGATTGATAGTAATAATTCAAATTATAGACTCTATGTATATATATATATATATGCCATTATATTCTCGGCTAGTTGCCAAGCTGATGTGAGATTCCAGCTTCCCATATGCATATACACAAGTATATTTCCGTGCCGCGCAGACAGAGAAAAAAAATCAACACACAGTTTTCAACATCGCCAAATTCTTTACTAATTTAATAATAAACACCCGCGCGCAAAGCATTTCGTTTCACGCGCTCTTTAAATCTAAAGTAAACACACACTTATAAATGCATTTATAATTATATAAATTCAATTTTTTTTTTTATTTTCAAACTAGAATAAAGAAAATTGCCATTTCTAAACAAATGGATCCATTATAATCCAAATCCGTAATAATAGTAATTTAACTTATTAGATGAATAAACGAATTAATTTGTTTCGAGAACTTGACAAACCAGTCTTGAATCAATTAAATAAAGAATATATTCTAAGTAGAAATAAATATTTCTCGATTCAGAGCCATAAAATTTAAATAGCATTTAACTTGTTTGCTCGCAAGTACTTTTTTTTAAAGTTATTCTCATTTCTATATCATTAAAGTCATTCTTAATCTTTGTCAATGTCCTTCCCTTCGAAAAATAATTTTTTTTTTTTAATTAATTTTTTTTCACTAAATTGAATTTAAAATCTATTTGTAGATTCTTTTTTTGAAAAACCGGTTAAATATATATATATATATATATATATATATACATATAAATGCGGCGCTAACTGCTAAGTTAATTGTAAGTAACACATATTCTTCTTAAGAAGCACGTGCTCTCGCGACTCTCTTCTCCTTTCAAGAAACGAGTGGGAAACCTGTTCTTTTATAATATATAGTAAACTTAGGACATCTCGCGGACCTTATGAATCCTGAAACGGTCCTTTTTTAAGTACACGAGACGCGATATAAGCTTTGACTCTCTAGTCTTGGCAATGACCCGCTGTGAGACACGAAGCAGACGTCGTTGTATAAACAAAGCAACGTGGAGCGCTATATAAGCTTATTTCAAAGCAAAACCTAGAACTAAATTCCTCAAATTAGAAATTTTTTTTATCTCATTTTCATTCCACTTTTTCCACAGAAATAAACGCAATTATTTTAATACTATTATTATTATTAATTATTAATTAATGAACGTCCCGAATTTAATACAGCTCCGAAACGAATCTATTTAAAATTAAGACCTAAAAGAATCTAAATTTAAATTAATTTTATTTTCAGGACTAATTTAAATAACAATTTGTCTCAATTTATTATTATTTATCTAAATTTTATTTTTATTTTAATTATTTTTATGATTTTTTAAAGGCAAGTGTTAAATTAATTTAGTCTTGAAAGTAAAACTTTTTCATATACACATACAATGTAAATTTAATTTGTATAAAAAAAAATTTCTTACCATATATTGAGAAAAGTAAGTGGAATGAAACTCGAACTCACCTGAAAAGAAAAACAGATTTAAATTAGCATTAAAATTAAAAAAAAAAATTATTATTCTATTTTCTAACAGTTATATATATGTTTAATATATGTATATGTGTTAAGAAAGTATTCAGAGCAAGCCTGACTGGGAGAATTGAATTTTCACTGACATGTTAACTTTCTGTCTCGACACGAGTTAGCGTTTCATTGAAAACAATTAGTAAACTAAGAAAAATTAAATTGTTCATGATTTATAACTATTTCATAATGTACGCTGATTTTTTTTTTACACTGTAAAACGAAAGGTATTAATTTAATACCTACTTTAGGTACTAAATTGTTATTTGGTTCTATTTTGATACCTAAAATCGATACTATTTTAGTACTTTCTTTTTACAGTGTATTTGAAAAAAAATTGTTCTATCAAATTTAAAACATTTGAAAATAAAAAGTATACAAAATAAATATAGAATAAATTAATTAAACAAAAATCAAATAATTAAATGAATGAAATATATAAAATAATAAATATAAAAATATAATTTAAAGACAATTTTACTACATATTTCTGGAACGCTAGATTTTTTTAAAAAAAAAAAGTTGGTCTTTTTAACTTTGTATAATGATGATATTAAAGATCTTTATAATATTACAGAAAATTTTGCGCCAAAGCCGCTTTGAGGTATAATTAAGAATTTAAATTCTACATCCTTTTAAAACATTGTAGTCTCAGTTTAACAGAAATTGTTTTTTAACCGCTTCATTAGTGTATATGCTGCAGAGAAAATATAACCCTGAAATGCAACTAAGTTCATTTTTCATACTATTTTTGCTGGTTTTTTTTTTTTGCGCGCTGCAAAAATATATTATTATTTCTAGGATTAAAAACGAGATCATTTTATAAATGAACTCAATTAAAATAAATAGTTAAAATCCCTTTTTTTCTTAATACCACATAAAAAAAATGTGTTTATAGTTCCGGTATAAGAATATTAAAATTACTTTATAAAATTTATAAATTACACGCACTTTTGCAATTGAAATAAATCTAATTTTATTTCAATATATATATATATATATATATAAATGTGTAATAGAAATTACTTTAACACTCCTGCTTTGAAAATAAATGAAGTGTTCGCAATGTAATTGGACATAAATTTTCGAACATCCGGTGAATGCCCTTAACCTGGAAAATTTTCCACGCCATTTAATGTTCGTAAAGGTATATATCGATCAAACAGTTCAATATATATAGATAGCTTTACTTGTATATATATATATACACTGTTCCAATTAAAGAGCCTCTGAGTTCAATTACACCATCGAAGTGATCGCACCTACCCACCATCCTACACGTATTTGGCAAACTAGAACTGCAGGAAATCACTTTTTTTCTTTCTCTCTCTTTCTCTCTCTATCTCTCTTATAATATGATGCGTGTGTTAATGCGGTAACAAGTTCGAAAATGGTAACTCTGTTCGATTCATTAAATCTCTTCAATAAAAAAAAAGAAAAAAAAAAAAATGTGTCAAAATTCTTTTATCGTCCCACTTTGATTTTTTGCCCATACCTTTTTTTTAATAATTACACAGAAAATTAAAAGGCATTAAAATAAGCTGTAACTCTTATTATTTTAATCCATTTTGGTATTAAAATAAGCAAAATTGGATTAAAATAATAAGCGTTGCAGATTATTTTAATGCCTTTTAATTTTCTGTGTAGCTGTACAGGGGGAGAAAATTATTTGATTCAAATATAATCGGTTACTTAATATAGTCAATATAATCTTGACTAGGAATATTTGCATTTATTTAAGACAAATAAAATTTATTTCACGCAGATATAAATTTTATTTGGATCAAAATAAAAATATATGTTTTAGAGCCTAATAACTTTTTATTTGTTTCAAATAAACTATTTTATATTTAGCGCATATAAACTTTTATTTAGAACAAATAAAATTTTATTTAGAGCAAATAAAATTTTTAATTCAAATCAAATAAAATATTTGCGGTAAACAATAAATATATTTATTTTGGCTAATATTTTGGTGAAGCAAATAAATATTTATTTGGCTAATATTTGGCGAAACAAATAAATATATTTATTTGGCTAATTTTTGGCGAAACAAATAAATATATTTATTTGGCTATCATTTTTCTGAATATACTTGAATCAAAGAATTTGCTATTAAATTAAATAAACTAAAAAAACAATAATTGTTTTTAAAAAATCTAATTACTGAAGAAATTGAATTTTTTAAATAATTTTCGCATATTATAATAATGGAAGATTGAAAGTAAATATTATAAATCGTTCAAGGTCTGTATTATAATAGAAGCTACTGGACTTTCGATATCTTTGCGCTAAAGAAAGTCGGTCGATATTCCCTGCCACGGTCTTAAGAATTATAGCTACGACGACGATTGCACTGAATATCGTTGCACTTTAATGTTAGCAGCCTCTTAGGAATGTTGTGCCACTGCAAGAGACGACTAGTTATCGCTATGTAGTATAGGCCTAAGTATATATAAGCAAAAAAAAAAAAGAAAAATGACAACAAAAAAAAATCGATCCCTCGGTAGGTAGTATGTAATAAGCGGGGTCTCGAAACACGATGGTTTCTTCTCAAACTCCGAGACTGGTTTTTCCCCGATGGAAGAGATCTACGATTTGAGGAAGAAGCTAATTATCATCTATCCAGAAATATTTATTATGTGATATAGTAAAGTTTTCTTTTCAATTCTATTATATCAAATTACTTTTTTTTGCCACAAAATTGCAGAGACGACTCTATTTTCATCTGAAAAAATAATTAATTTACTTTCTAAATAATATTTTTTTAAAAATATTTATTTATAGTGAAAAAAAAATGTGTGTTTAATTTGTGAGTAATTGTCACTTAAACGACTATCTCGTTAAGTAAAATTAAAAAATGCACTCGACTCTTGAAAGCTTTTCCCCCCGCAAGCTTTAATCGTAATACTCTGCCTCCGGTATTACCCTGATGACTCTTAAGTTACTCTTTTTTTTTTTTTTCTTTTAATTATTTCGCCTTATTTCCAGCATCCTTATCTCGGCATGTTGTCGGCGCGACTTATTACTCCAGAATAAAAATTATGAAGTTGTAAGTAATTACGATAAATTTTATATATCGACAGGCTCGTTAGTCGATTTAAGTATATATGCGAGCATATATATTCTATACCAAAACGGCAGCACTCAACAGATGCGTGAAAAATTATTCAACGTCATTTGATTTATAACCTAATTTGATAGTAACATTTTTTTCATCTCCTAAAATAACAAATTTTTAAATTTGATTTTCGAAAAATAATGATCGGGTTATAATTAATATATATATACCCAGACAGCACATAACATTGCGGCAATATTGCTGGGCAAGTTTCGCAATATTGCCGTGTAACATTAAAGCAATGTTGCCACAACATTAAAATGTCCCTCCTTGCTCAATATTGCACAGTAAGCTTGCCACAAGCTTATGTCAAGGTTGCACCACAAGCTTGCAGCAATGTTGCACGGTAACATTGCCGCAAGATTGCTCGGCAAGTTTGCATCGTAAGCTTGCTGTAAGATTCATGTAAGGTCGAATAGTAAGCTAGCTGCAAACTTAATGCTACAGAAAATTCTCGCCGTAGGCACTTTTCTTAAATTTATTGTCAGTTTTTTGGCTATATAATATTTGAACGTCACTTCAAAAAAGAAAATATCCATAATTTAAATTTTATTTTACTTAATTGTTCAATTAAAAAAAATTAAAGATAGGATAAAAAATGGAATTAAAATATTTAAATCTGGCTATTTTTTAATGGAAGAAAAAATTATTTTTATGGCCTACGGCGAGAATTTTCTGTAGCTTCAAGTTTGCAGCTAGCTTACTATTCGACCTTACATGAATCTTACAGCAAGCTTACGATGCAAACTTGCCGAGCAATCTTGCGGCAATGTTACCGTGCAACATTGCTGCAAGCTTGTGGTGCAACCTTGACATAAGCTTGTGGCAAGCTTACTGTGCAATATTGAGCAAGGCGGGACATTTTAATGTTGTGGCAACATTGCTGTAATGTTACAAGGCAATATTGCGAAACTTGCCCAGCAATATTGACGCAACATTGCCGCAATGTTATGTGCTGTCTGGGATATATATAAGAAATCGTTTGAAGAGAGGGAAACTTAAGAAACTCGTCAAGCGACGCGTGTGTGCAGGTGCATTTCGATTCTAAAGTCTAAATAAAAGATAGAAGCAATATAAGCCGAGGCAATGGACCGAGTGTTTCATTGGTATATAGCATCTTTCTCTCTCGTATAATAAAAAAAAAAAAAAGAAAATGGCAAGATAGGGGAGTACAACTGGACAAACGAATAGAGATATTTACCGAAGTGGACAGCACTCAAGTTACATTTTCAAACCGCATTTAAACGTTCTTATATCTTCTATATCTGGAAATTTTTTCTATATAAAAATAGCCAATTTTCAAAAACAGATTTTTTTTGAAAAAATAAATATATACGAAACACTACAAGCATAAAAGAATTTGAAAGCCGCGCATACATTTGTATATATGTGGCTTTCTGAAAAGAAGAGGAAGAAATGAAGTTTTTTTTTTCGAGTTGAAAAGAAGACAATTGTTGCAGGTGACATACTATGCTCTTTTTTAGACTCTCACTTGAAAAGTTGAATTGACTTGAGGGACGTTGAATTTCTTTTCATGTATATAGAACACGATGTTATATTATATAGGTGTCAAGAGTGAAGAAGACTGGAATCTCTCTCTCTCTTTTTCTCTATGATACACGAGTTCCGGAAGTATATATATATATATATATAAGATTAGAAAGCATTCCATTCCAACTTGTCATTTTCATATACACACATCTCTCATTCGACTATAAGTGTCAATTTCGATTTGTAATCGAGAGACGATATTAGCCCATTGAAACGTCGCTACTTCTATGTTCCGTATTCGTATCAACTTATAGTGTAAATCGGGATTAACGGACGACCATTGAAAAATCGATGAGATTAACGAGATGTTAATGGAAAATTTATGTTTTAAATATTCCATTTTAGATACATAAAAGAAAGAAAATTAATCGACGTCAATTTATATATTTCATTTTGATATATTATATATATATATCCTCATGGACCGTAAATTGATGAACTTAAACTTATTAAATAATGCTTTCATAATCGAATAATTTGGTTTTTTTACAAGGTTTAGAAAAAATTACGCAAGATAAAAAATAGAACAATTGGATCGTAAATCAAAGGGGTCAAAATAATGGTACCAACCCTTTTTTGACCGCACAATTTTATATATATTTATGCAAACTTGAATTTTTTGGTTCTATCTTCTTTTTTCTTTTACATTGTTGTCAAACGACATTAACGACAACAAGCGACAAGAGACATAGCGTCATTCGCCTCTAAATGACACCTCTGGAATTTTCAAGGTTCGTCGAGAGAGAAAGAGACGGACGGGTTATAAGCGCAAGGAGATCTGCGGCCTTGTGCGCTGCACAAAATAATCATATAACGTGCGTGCATGCCATAATGCCATCTCATCTTTTGCTGGACCACGCGTTACTCTTTCAATCAGAAATGAAAACCAAAATGAATAATAATACTTATAAAAAAGAAAATCTTATTTTAATCGAAGAAAAAAGTCTTCTAAAAAAAATTTTAGTCATTTTCAGTCAAAAAAAGAAATTTAAAATTATCCTAATGTATTTCTAATTTTAGAAACAATTAAAAAAAAGTTGTAACTGCATATATTTGCATGGTACACAGTATATTCACTTCTTGGAAAGCAATACAATATCGATTGCAAAATACCCCAGACAGGAAAAGCATATAGAGTAAAATTGTAATCTTGATTCCAAATATAACTTTAAAAAAAAAAATTATTTTTATGAGAAATTTAATTCTTCTGAATAATAATTATAGTACTGTTAAATAAATAATTTAACAATTTTCTGTAAAGTGAAAAAAAAATTTATTTGATTCAAATACTCGACTATTATCAAATAAATATTTACTTGTATCAAATAATAATTATTATTTGAGTTAATTAAATTGTATTTGTTTCAAATACAGAAATTATTGGTTCAAATACAGAAATTAGTGGTTCAAATACAGAAATTATTGGTTCAAATACAATTTATTTAATTCAAATAAAAATTATTTCAAATATTTATTTGATAATAGTCAAGTAATCGAGTATTTGAGTCAAATTTTTTTTTCAGTGTACGTTAATTACTGTCGGTTGAAAATGAATAATAATTGATCTAAAAAAGAAATCTTGTTTAACGTCGTTATAATTTTATTTTACAATTACGATTTATTATTCACGTGTTTCTCAATATGAACGCAATTTCGCACTTGTAACCGATTTAAAAAAAAAAAATTAGATTCTATATGCCATGAGCTTATAGCTTTCATATATATGCCTTGACATAATAAGACATCATTTATTTTATAATAAACTATGATGCCAATGTCACGTTTATAATAATCGTATATATGTAAAGATACAAAATAATTTTATTTACCTAAAAAAGAAATTACTAAAAAAAGAATTATTTTCAGAATTTAGAAAATATTCTGAAAATCTTTTTTTTGCATTTCTTTATCATATCAAGAATTTTTCATATTTTACACACGCAAGGGCTTATGTTTAAAAATGACCTATACTAATCTCCTTTACTGATCTGTGTTACTAGGATATGAGCTATAAAGATATACATGCAACGCAAAAAAGCTAAAAATATAATACCGCATAAAGTATATGTTTTAAAAAACCGATTTCTTCACTCAAATAGTCCATTAAAAAAAATCTGGTTATAATTTTTTTTATTATTACAAAAAAAATGTCATCTCTAAAACTCAAAACAATCGAAGTTTCAAAAAAAAAATGGAAATTTTTCGGGTTTATTCTTTTTTCTGTACAAAAAATGATTTTTTTTTTTTGGATTACATTTTACGAACAGTCAATCGCATAATATCGAAATTTAAAAAAGTACATAAAGAATAAAGATCACGGGTTTATTATATTTGTAGAAGTTAATCTTTCAATAATTTGTATGAAAATCACCAAAAAAATTTTGTATATAAAGTTTAAATCCTCAATGGGCATAGTATATATATATATATATTTATATATAAAATGCAAATGATGTCCCTCCCAATAATCCAATGTTAAATTCAATCCAAACTTTATCAACAATACGTATATCAAACCTATCTAGGACTTGAAACAAAATTTATGTGAAATTTGTCCACAATTTATATACATATAGTTGATAAATTTGCATATGAATGATATATGATGATCCTAATATAAATTCTCAATCCCAATATAAATTCTCAATGTCCAATTTCGTGCACATTTGTATATGTATAGGTAATACCTGATCCTCCATTTCTGAGATGTTTCTGTCCAGAAAGCGGAAATAAATAAATTCTCAAATCCATGAATTGCAAACACATACATATAAATTCAAGTATACATGTTTACTTTCTTACAAATATTTGTTTACATTTTGTATCCATGACACTAGTCAAGACTTAATTTTTGAATATTACAATAAAGCATATTCCAAAGAATGCACAAGAATTATATTATCCAACACGTATTATTGTCCAAAAAAAAAAAAAATGTTTTATAGCATAATATAACTTCAGTTATGACACAATAATAAAAAAAAAATGGTTAATCTGGTCTAATTTATTACCATTTTTTTTTTTACTTTTTCTGTTAAAAATGTTCCTATTTGCCTATTTTATTGACAGTAAAACAAGTATATTTTGTCTATACAAACGGTAAAACATTAACACTGAATTTTATTTTAAGAAAAATAAAAAAAAAGGCATTTTAGTTATCGTTATTTTTAAAAATGTTAAAGATAAAAAGAATTTATAAGGGAACAATTTTACAACTAAATTCTTAACTTTTTTTTTATTATTCTTTTTTATCGTTACTATGTATGTATATAAAAAAATTAATTTTAATCTTTCCTTTGAATATTTGTCTTTCAAAAAAAAAAAAAAGAAACATTTTTTTTCACTGTCAAATGAAATATATAGCTGTTACTGTTACATTTTTTCCATTTATCATTAAATAAATGTAGCATATTAAATAAACATTTCTTTTTTTATCATAATATAAATTTCTCCCTGAAAGGATTAAATATTCCTGATATTTATGAATATTTAAATAAAATTAAATTATTATTAAATTATTTTCATAATTATTTTCAAAATAATGAATAATTGTCTTAAAAAAAGGAGAGAAAATCAAATTTTCTTTCAATGCAATAGACATTTTTTGTTTTAAAAAAATAATATTCAGTTTTGATTAAATTAAAGTCAATCACATTTTAAGGTGTGTTCATAATTCAAAGATTGTGAGTCAGTCCAAATTATTAAAAAATAATTTGTTTTAAATGAAAAAAGAAAGTTTTCCCTTTTTTCCAAAAAAAACATACTGCGTTATTTTTTTCCACTTCCATAGACAGTATAAACATTAAAAAGGCGTAAGAATGTCATTAATGAGTAGATTATGGGAACAAGTATATATATATATAATATACAGAAATTGAATTTTGTTTCCTACCATTAATATCGTAAAATTTTATTTTGTAACATTGATCATTCATAAAGTCTGTCTGAATAGAAAACTATATAATAAAATTCTTATAATCCTCTTAAGTAATTCTAAAATCAACGATAAATTATTCATTTTTATAATACATATACCCCCACATATAAAAATTACAATAACTGATTAATTTTTATTGATTCAATAATAGTAAAAATTATATTTATATTATACGAACGTCTGTTTATTATATAGAAAAGGTTTAGCAATTGTTTATTGGAAAAGAAATTTAAATAATAATAATTCCTTTCTATTCAAATTTAATTAAATTTCTAAATATAATTAATATAAAAAAAAGATGTCTGGTAAAAAAAAATTTCTCTCTTAATCTCTTAAAAATCTAACAAATATTTGACGTAAAAAATTTACGATAAAAAAAATCAAATGCAGCAATATAATAATAAGCAACATTTCGAAAAATTAAATAAATAAACTCACCTATTAATTATCGTGAATTAATAAGCAAGCATCCTTCACTGGAGAAATAAACACAATTTTTTTTTTCGAGGGGTGCAAAAAAGCACAAGTGTCACTCACTTTGGAGTTAAAAGCTCCGCACTTTTTTTTTCAAAAAAATTTTCTTCACTCTAAAGGAAGCATGGGATAAATAATTAAGTGAATAGTTAATTGCACTTTTGATGTAAAAAAAAAAAAATATTTGAAACCCGGTAAAAAGACCGGGAGTTCAAGGAGAACGTGAATCGTGAGGTCGTTCGATCGATGTCCGTGCGCAGACTGAACGCACCTCGCGTTCGTCATGTCTTGAAAGCTCCCTATATTTCTCTCTCTCTCTCTCTTTTGCTCTTTTCAATTCTAATTCTCTCTTTTTCTTAATTTCCTCCTCTTTCTTATTCTCATTGCTTTCAACATTATCAACCCCCTTTGCCCATCATTTCCTACCTGTAATATTAGATTTAAATACAAAAAGGGGAATAAATTTAATTATCCTAATTATTCATTAATTATCGCAAAAATTATATCTTATTTTAAGGGATGAAAGCAGTGTTATTTTAAGTTGCAGAATATTAATATATAATTAATATAATATAATTATAAATAATAAATAATAGTAATATATAATAATAATAATAATAATAGTAGTAGTAGTAATAATAATAATAATAATAATAGTAATAATAATAACAATAACAATAATAATAATAATATATAATAATAATAATAATAATAATAATAATAATAATATAACAAATTATAATACAATAAAACAATATATAAACGAAATTCCAACTAATTTTTAAAACCTTACTTATATGATTTTTCTCATATATGAATCCTTTCATTAAGTTTGCTGTCCCTACCCCAATTGACTCTTATTATATCAATTCTTACTAATTTGTCGTAAATTACTTTCTTTCACCGCCTACAATAAATTATGTAGATGTATACGAAAAAAAAATTTTTTTCTTCCACTTATTTCGAGATCTTAAATTAAACGTATTCATTAAAAAAAAAAAAAAAACATTAATTAATATTGTCAACAAATATACGTGACATAAGAAATGAAAAAAAAAAAATAAATATAATTATTTTACATTCCACTTTTTGATAAGATAAAAATAAAACAATTTTTTTTAAATATCTAAATAATGACTCCGTGTCAAATAGAAAATTTATTATTTGCGCACTTTTTTAATAGAGTCATTAAGAAAATTTCTATTATGACTCCATTATGTTTACTCTTTTTCCTCTCCTATAACTTTTATACTCTCTTATTCAAATTTTTGCTTACATTTTCATTTAAATAAATTCCATTTAAATTAATTTACAGAAGTTAAAATATATTTTTATTTTATTTATATCACAATTTTTATTTAATTTTAATTATAATTAAACAAAATATTAATAAATAAATTATAATAATCAAATAAAAAATTTTTATTAATCCAATTATAATTGAATTTTATTTTAATTAATAAGTACCTATCAACTAATGACGTGATTTATTGTTATTTAGTTATCACTTCATATAATCATAAATTAGAAATAATAAACATTTAACTTCTTGCGGTAAAAATCAAAGGAAAATTAGATTCCCTTTCTGATATACAATAAATTATATAAGAGACACGAAGTCAGTTTTTTGACACACCCATTCAATTTTTTTTCCCCCCTTTTTCTTTATTAACTTTTTAACAGATCAGATTCTCATAAAAGAAAATGTTTACTCATTGGTTCTCAACACACCGAAAAATCCTCTATTCAATATGTTATAATTGCCTTAAAAATACAAAACTTTATTGATTAATAGTGGCCCTTTTTAAGTATATATATATATATATATACCTTCTTTAATCGCTAATATAGTTCCTGCTATTTTTTCAATCCTCTTACATGTATACTCGACCCCTTTTTGATCAGGTCAGAATATAAAGGTATATTAACCCTCCATTGGTGTTACACAAAAAGTCAAGAGGTCAAAGGGTAAAAATTCGATCCGATCACATGTATATAAGAAAAAAATTTTTAATGTGCAAATAAAAAAAAATTTATACAGAGAAATAAAATTTTCTAAACAAATTTTTTTAATTATGAAAATATTTTTTTTACATAAATTTAAAATAATTTATTATGAATATTAAATATTTCATTAAAATATTTCAATCCGCGTGAATTTGTTTAATAAAAAAAAAAATATTAAAAAAAAACCACCAGGAATAAAATTAATAAAATAAGAAAAACATTTCAAATGTGCAAAAAAAAATATGTTTTGCAAAAACGATAAAGGAGTTGCGAAAAAAACGTATCTGGCGCGGATCGGAAAAAAATACAACGAAAAAAAAAAAAAAACTTTAACAAGAAATACATACAGGCCAGAGAGTAAGTATATTAAAAATGAAATGAACAACTTGTGAAAAAGTGTGTTATAAGATAAGAGGGCGCGATAATTTGTAAAACTACGTATACAAAGTATAAAATTAATATATCCCTGCATTTATTAGAACTGACTGTATAAAATTAAATTTAAAAAAGAAAGAATCAAACAGCATCCTCTTCATGTTACAATTAAATTGAAAAAAAAATTTAAATTATAATGTTGAATTTCTGGTTATATATATATACATACATATAGCCTATCCTTCTCGAATTACTTGCTTTTTTTATCAAATGAAGGTCTTCACACCCACCACACCCTTATATTACTTCATTGAAGAAAAATACACCGAAAACGATATTCTAAATTTAAGTATATAATTTTCGTTCTTATTTAAAACAATATATATTCCAACAGTTACTTTAATTATTATTCATTTTATTATATATTTGTTGCTATTAATTCTTATTCGATTATTATTATTATTATTATTATTATTTTATAATTAGTACTATAATATATTATATTTATTGTATTATTATTATAATTAACCTTACTCTTAATATTATAGGAAAAAACTTTTGGTGGTATGGGGAATCGAACCCGGGACCTTACGCACGCAAACCGAGTATGTTAGCCAACCTACCATTTTATCATTATGAAAATTAGATAAAAATAATTAAATGAGATATATTTTCTTATAAATCCGTGAATATCGTTATATTACACATTGAAAAAAAATTATTTGATTCAAATAATCGGTTACTTTACTATTGTCAAATAAATAATTATTTTTATCAAATAAATATTTATTTGTATCAAAAATACATTTACTTGAACCAAATAAATATTTACATGAACCAAATAAACATTTACATGAACAAAATAAATATTTACATGAACCAAATAAACATTTACATGAACAAAATAAATATTTATTTGTTTCAAAAATACATTTACTTGAACCAAATAAACATTTACATGAACCAAATAAACATTTACATGAACGAAATAAATATTTACATGAATCAAATGAATATTTATTTGTATCAAAAATACATTTACTTGAACCAAATAAACATTTACATGAACTAAATAAATATTTACATGAACCAAATAAACATTTACACACGGAGAAAAATGGAAAAACGAATAAAGTAACTTTTACTACTTTAAAAGTAAAATTGGACCTGTCCGAAGTTTCTGCGCATCTCTGGCAACTTTTACTCGAAAAATAGTAAAATTGACTATTTCTGTAGTAAATTTTACTGTTTCCGTAGTAATTTTTACTATTTCTGAAGTAAATTTTACTATTTTTGGAGTAAAAGTTGCCAGAGATGCGCAGAAACTTCGGACAGGTCCAATTTTACTTTTAAAGTAGTAAAAGTTACTTTTTCTTTTTTTCCGTGCATGAACGAAATAAATATTTACGCATGAATCAAATAAATATTTATTTGTATTAAATAATTTATTATTTGAGATGGTATTTGTTTCAAATACCGAAATTATTGATTCAAATAGTTTATTTAATTCAATTATTTGGTTATAAAAATTATTTGATTCAAGTAAATATTTATTTGATAAGATTATTTAAATAAAATAAATATTTTTTACATATACTTGAATAAAAGTAACGATTTATTTACTTTCATTATCAAAAAAAAATAATAATAATAATAATAATTTTCTACACATTTCTCTCCATTTAAAGATTATGAAAAGTGCGCGCTCTTCCTGTGACATTCCATATATAGAATTAGAAATGGAAAATAATAGCTTGACATTAAATTGTCATCAAGCATAAACATTGTATATGAAAGTATAATCTATATGCTACTAGTATATATTATAATCCTTGAGAATCTCGTCGCGACTTTTTTTCCATTTTTTCCATTTTTTTTTTTTTTTTTTTTATTGTACACACGTGTGTAGGTATTTTGTATGACAATACACAATGTAGCCACGCTTTTCGCACATTGTAATGCATATATATTGCTGAAAGGTTAAACTTGATATAAATGTGGGAAAGTTCATAAAGTATGTATATATATATACTTTCGAGAGAGCTATATGTTATAAAGAATATATCTTTCATCATCGAAGTCAATACAGAAAATTATTGTCATTTTACGTGGGCATTATGTGCCGGAACCTCTTCCCTATTGTTAATATTATATACCAAGAAAAATTATATATACTTTTTTTAAATAACGAAAAATGACAAAAAATTTCTTTTTTCAAGTTAAAAAAAAATTTAATGTATAAAATAAGAGGGACATAGTCATAATAACAGAAGCCGCAAAAATAGAAGATAATCAACTTTTACTTCCGAGTTTTTATACTTTAAATGCGACAAAATCCCTTAAAAATGTGGATCTATACACAAAGATGTAATTCAGTTTTCTAATTTTTCTTTTTAAAATTTTTATAAATATAATTTGTAGGGAAAAATATTTTTTGCTTTTTTCTTCCCTTCTTTTTCTTGTATAAGAAAAAACTTGTAAGTACAGTAATATTAATTTAAAACAATGACACACATAAAAGTTGTTAATGACTTGAAAGTTGTTAATTTTTTAAGCCGACACTATGACTGTTTTCCAGAAATATGTTTGCATCTTATTATTAATGCTTTTCTATAAGATATATGCTTTCGCTTTTTTCTTCTTTTTTTTTTTAGAAAGGAGCAACGTTTCCTTTTGTTTTGTCCCCTTTTTTTAAATATGTGTTGCCTGTTAAGTATGTGCAGGACTTCAGAATCTTAATGACATCTCACCTGCCATTGCATTTGTTTGGGATTCAAGAGAGCTTCCGTGTATAATGCACTTTGAAGAATTCCGTTTACTTTTTTTTCCCACAAGTAAATTATTTATATTTTTTAATATTTCAATATTAATTAATTATTAATTACTAAAAATAATAAAGAATTGTAAATAAAATCTAAACTACTTTTGCAAAAAAGAAGATGAAAAAAAAGTATGTTTGGAACGTAATACTCATCGGTTTGCGGTTGAAGAATATGTAGTTCGATTTTGTGCGACTCTTGGCGCAAATCGAGAAAAATAAAGAGGGAAAGTGGGGGTACAATAATAGCAGGTTGACTGGCCTGTGGTGTAATACGCGCCTGACTTGATTCCATCGAACCCGAACGAGTGCGAGGGAAGAGAGCTTGTGCTACCTACAAGGATAGGAAAGAGACTTCATAGAATCAAGTCTACAAAAACTGGACTTGAACTTGCTATACTAACTTGAACTTTTATCCTCTTTACCTCGCTGGTCTAATCTCATCGTTTTTCTTCTGCAATCTAAGCCTCACAATATATGACACTTGTATTCAATTTTTTTTTTCATTTCCACAAAATCAAACTTTTCCCTTTGGTAAAGAAATATAGATTTCAAATTTAGAAAAAAGAGTTTTCAAAATATCGAAATTCAGAATGAATGTCTGGAAGATTAAACCTCAACATCTGGCATGCAACTGGTCAGAGTAATTGTTCTCTTCAGGACAGCACCATTTACGTTGTTCCGCTTCTCGAGGAGGATTTTCATTTTTTTCCCCTTTTTTTTTTTTATTTTCAAAAAGAAAGTCTCTCGGTTCACGCATGTTGTTGTTTTCATAGAAGATTCACAAAAACCATATAAGTTGACGGGGCCTCATAAAGATGTAATAAAAGAGTTTATCTTCTTAAACCTCTTTATCGCGTCACTGCTTATACATATAACTCAAGCTATCATTATAATTTAAATCAATTAGCTTCCTTATCAATTATAAAACAAAGAAAATTTCCTTAAAAAGCATTAATTAATTAATACCTTTCACACTCTGAATTATAATGAGTACAAAAAAAGCCAAAATTCTCGCAATTTGTATGAATGTGACAAAAGATACAATAGATTTTGATGGAGAGGAGAAAAATCTCTTATTTTTGAATTACGAACACACACTCGGCAATCATTAGCACGAGAGCTGAGAGACCTCCAAGGGATTCACTCTTTGACTTGTGTGATCGCGCACGAACCATTATTATCTCTGCGGACTTAACTCGCGTTGCATCAGCCAGATGGTAAAGATGAAGAGTTTCTCTGCCTTGAAGCTAAAGATTCCCTTTATATTTAGTTAATTCATCCTTCCGAATTTTATTTCTTGCATAAACAAAGAAAAAAAAAAGTTATATGCAAAAATACAAATGATTATCTTGCAATTTTCTACATCTGGATTTTATATATGACCTTTTTCAATACTCTGAATATAAATCTCGCTTTAAATTGATATTTAATCACTGAGAAAAAAAATTTAGTGTTTGCAACAAAATTGCTTGGTTAGGCAATTTTGATTCTTGTAACCAAATTTTGTTTGGCTAAAATAAAACAAAGTTATCTCAACCAAACATTTGGTTAGGCCAACAAAATTATTTGGTTGAACATTTTTAAATTACAACCAAAATTTAGTTACGACAACAAAATAATTTGGTTAACACAACAAAATAGTTTGGTCTAAGAAACCAAATGATCGTTTGTTGTCCTAACCAAAATTTGGTTGCAACAACCAAATAATTTGATTCGCTCTCAGCTTATAGCTTAAGAGGACACACCCTGAAAAAAGTAATCTCATATTTAGAGGAAAAATCCCCTTCTAATATCCTCTCAATTTTTCCTCTTAAAACAAAAGTATTCCACTTGAATGTAGAATATTTTTATTCTTTGGTGACTAATAATAAAACAAAACAATTTTTTTGAGGTTCTGATGTCAAAAACATTGAATTAAAGTTAAATAAATAAACAAATCTATTAATTAATGTAAGTAATTAAGTATAAATCATTAATTATATTTAATATTTAATTAAAGATATTTAATTTATGAGATTTTTCAAAATCCACAAATATTTCAATTGGATAAATATAAATTAAACGTTAAATTGGATAATAAATAAATAATGAAATAAATAAAAAAGATAAAAAGAAAATAAATAAGGTAGAATAAAATTTTTAATTTTACAAAAAAAAACCAAATTTTTTGGTTGACTCAAACAAATAGTTTGGTTGCTTAAATACCAACAAAATTTTTTTGTTGGCCCAACCAAATTTTGTTTGCTCTGACTAAACATTTTTCTCAGTGATGCTTCTGTTATATTATAATACAAGAAAATTTCTTTTTTTTTCCCTTCAATCATTTATTAAAATTTACAATTCCTCTTGTTTTTGCCCCATTCAGGAAATATAATAAACGATCGATTGGAAAAACAATGTTCTCACAGTGAAAAATCCATTCCATTCCATTCGATTTTTTGAGTAATAAAATTTCTCTGATTCTAAGAGTATTTTAACTTTCGTTCCATGTGAAATATTCTGTAAATTGTCAATGAGCTGTCCCGTTAGAAATAATAAACATAATTTAAAGTTGGCACTGACAATGTTTCTAGGAAAAACTGTAGCATTTTCCCGAGTTGGGTGTGTAATTGGAATCTGAGAATCATTGCCGCGCACTTGCAGTATACATATATATATAGAAAAAGTATATAATCGTTTGAAAGAAAAATAAGGGAGGCCGATTGAAGGTATGCAGGTCGTTTGGATCATTGATGAAGTCTTTCTTTTATTTTCCCTATAATTGCTTTCATCTATTTTCATTTTATTTTTAAACAATTATTTATTACTAAATAACATTTCGAGAAGGGTTTGAATTTTTTTTTTTTTTTTTTTTTTTTTTTCTTTACAATTTTTCATACCATATAAAATACAACACTATTGTTCTTTCTAATCTGAAGCGCCACAAATTTTAAACTCGAGACTTAATTGCTCGGAATTCTAGAGAGGATAATAATCATTCCTAAATCAGATTCCAACTCGCGGAAAGTGGAATTGTTCGAGATGATGCACTTTGATGACAATACTTTCGCGTACAAGGAATGGGAAACCATGTTCCTTCCGCCTTTGATATTTTCCAAGGAATAAAAAAAAAAAAAAAAAAAATTGGTGACATGGCGTTAAACGAGCCGATGGGCAAGTACTGAGAAAATGTCGCTTAATACCCCACTATTAAGTAAATTAAACCAATTAAATCGAAATAAAATTTCCGGGCACAAGATATATATTATTGTTCATTTTACGATAATTGTTCATAAAAATTCTCATTTAAATAATGTCAATTAAATAAAAATTCACAATTTGGGAATAAAAAGCGTTGAAAATTTTTTTTTCTAAATTTCTGCAATATTCATAATTACTATAGTTTATAATATTATAATATAAATTATAACTATTTAAAAAATTAAAATGTTAGAAATAGGAGGAAATAAAAGAACGCGCCTGTTAGTATGCAACTGGCAATACTTCGATGTACGTAACAGTTCACTCGAGAGATAAGAAACTTTTTAAATGTGTAAAAATTATAAAAACATAAAAAATATAAAATACATACACAAAATATTCAATTAAATAATAAATGGTAAATTTTGAATAAAAAATTGCAATAAATTACATTTTGTAAAGAAAGCACATATAATAAATAGATAATTATATATAAATAGGTAATTAAAATTTTAAAATTAATTTTTTCTTTCAACAATACGACATTTATTTTAAATACACTTTTTTTTTGTACGATACGAACTAAAAATAAGACTACAATCTGTATCACAGCATTTATCAGGTAGACATTTCGAATGTCAGTCTTCGTAACTTAAAAAACTTAAGTTAATATTTACAAAAAAAAAAAAAAAAAAAAAAAATTAAGACAAAATCATTCGTATTAATTCTATATACCCAGTTAATATCAGAAGTAATCAATATCGCAGTTTAATTAATAACAACAAATGTTTTAACATAAAAACATGTTAATTGACAGCTGCGATGTTAGTTAAAAAAAAAAGAAAAGAAACCATATTTCAAAATTGTTAGCTTAGAGCATCTAACAGAAAATGGTATGAGTTCGTACACATCTATTTTTTTTTTGACAAAAAAAATAAGAAATAAACTAATATTAATATATCTCACAGAAAGTGAAAAAAAAACAATTCTTAAATCTATTTCTAATCATCTTTTAACTTAAAAAAAAAAGAAATTATCGGCTAAATTTCCAATTAAACTTCAAATCTTACAGTGAATTACAATTCATATATTGTAATGCACAAAATAAAGATCAAGTTAAACATTAAAGATGATTATAATATTTAAGATAACTTAATTTAGAATTTTTTCATTTCTGCAGATAATTACAATTTCATTTTTTTCATGTATATTGGCCGTATTCAATTATTCATGGAAATAAATTTTTAAATAATCAATTTTAAATATTAAATAAATGATACTGGATAATTTCGTCAAAATTATAAAAAAAAAAAATTAATTAATAAATCAATATCACATCTTTTTTTAACATAAACTAATAAGAAAATTCGCAAAATAATTTCATAGATTTAAATGTACATAATTTGTTATGTATAATAAATAAAAAATAAAAAAAAAAAAATAGAATTAAACTTAAAATTTTTGAGAATCTTCTTCTTGTAAATTATCCATTTTTTCAATTTCTCTCTCCTTCAAAGAAATCCCATCGAATTATTCTTCTCCACTTTCAATCAGTCTGTCTAGACAATCGTAGGATTTCGACTGAATGATGAAACTGTAACAAAAAATTTTTTTACATAAGTATTTGCAGAAAAATATAAACATTTTTTTTGTTAAAAAATTTTTTTGTTAATGCGAATGCAAATTAATTTTTATTAGTTATTAAAAATTAAAAATATGAATCGAAAATTAGTTAATTTGCATAAAGCGTTATTTACTTTTTTAAAAAAATAAAGAATTAGAGCAATTTGTTAATTAAGCAGGCGAAGCAACTAACCCAAAATTAATAAAAAGCAACTTCATCGTCTCAACAACCGTTTGTGTGTTGGATCTCTTCTTCCAACGTGGAGAATCATTTTTCCCGCTTTAACCGCCTTAAAAGTTTGTAGTGCCTTTCCATGTGTCATTCCTTCCATGGGAATTCCATTAATCGCCCGAATTTCATCACCAATTCTCAATGTTCCCTCATCTGCCGCTTGTCCACCTGCCATAATATCTTTCACGAAAATTCCCATATTTCCTTTATTACTATCTGATCCTCCAACAATTGAAAATCCAAGTTTCTTTGTTGTTCCTTTTTCCAATGAAATTGTTATTAAATCCATTGGTAAACTGGTAGCTCTTCTTGAATAAAGTGTTGCATTTGAATTACGTTTTTTTATATTTTGAAATTTTTTCATACCAGTTATTTTTTCCGTATTTTCTTGTATATTTTCTTCAGCAATTTTATCCATTGTTGTAATTGAAACATTTTTACCGTCTTTCCTTAAAGCACCAATTATTTGACAATTCATATTATCTTTTACTGTGGTTTTTAAATTTTCCATTATTATATCGTCTTTAATACAATTATCAGCTGAATCTTCCTTTTGTTGAGAAATTTCCTCATTACAAAAACTATCATCAAATGACATTTGTGATGAATCAAAAATTATTGATGAATCATCAATATTTTCATCACCCGCTAACCAAACGTGAGGATCACTTTTTGTTCTAACTATGGGATTTTCCATCCACGTTTCACCAAATTCAAATGTTGGTACTCGCGCTATTTGCAATTCAACTGGTCCAAAACAATTTCTTAATGCATTTCTTGCTTCAGCCTCGGACATTCCACGAATTCTTCGACCAGAAACACGTACAATTTCATCGCCAATTCTAAATAGATTTGATTTAGCCGCCTCTCCTTTTGGATCTAACATTGAAATAACATAAAATGGACGCACTGCTTCTTTTCTTTCCAAAAAAATACCTAAATTTCCCGGAATTTCAATCATCAACTTCATTGTTTTCAATTCTCGTCTAACAAGTTTTTGTGCTGACGATGGTGATTTTGTTGGTTGTGAATTTGAAAGACCTTTTCGTTTTAATTTTCTCTTGGGACTTTCAACAACTTCTGGTTCCATATCGGAGCGTGATCGTTTTGGATTATAGTATTGTATTGGAGTGGTCTCAACTTTTTGTAAATATTTCAACGATGGTGGAGTATCTCTACAAGGTGAAGCTGCATTATCCAAAAGACACGAAGTGGGAATATTTTTCCGTTGTTTACCCTTAGGTGTTCTAAATTGCATTTCTGAATTACGTAATTTTGTCGATTTTAAAGATTTACTTCTCACTGGAGATGCATCTCTCTTTGAAAAATCATTATTAGACGCAATGAATGTCATTGTAGTGGTACTTGATGAATTTAATGTATCATTATCAGCAATTAATGTTGTTTCATTCAATGTTTCATTATTTTTTAATGTCTCATCAGCATTTGAATTGTCAAATTTCTTGGAGGAATCAGATAAATCAACACCTTGATAGTCTTCAGATGTAATGGAGAATTTTCTTGGACTTGATTGACGAGTTGATTGTTCACCATCAGGTGAATCAGCTCCCGTTCTTGTACTATCGGAATCATAGCCACTCTCATCGTAACCAAGTTTCAAATTATTGAGCAAATCTTCGACACCGCCTGGCATTGCCGATTTCGGTCGTTCAGTTCTAACATTATTATTATTGCTAATATTTTCATTAGCATTGATGTCAATATTTCGTGGATTAAAAAGATTTCTCTTCACGCTACCACTTCTTGGTAAACATTTCAAATCAATTGACGATGCACTCACAGATCTTTGTGAAGATAAAAATCTCCTCGTTATTTCATCTTCTAATTTATCCAATTCTGGAACTTTATTTTGAAGATTCTGAATACTTTGACAAAGAACTTCTTTTCTTCTTCGAAGAGTATCGATATTATTACCGTTTATTATTTTCGAGTATTTTAATACTCCTTCACTATATGCCTTATCTATACGAAAATTAGATAAATCTTCCTCTTCAATTGTTACACTCTTCGATTTTTGTTCAGTTCTTTCAGTCTTTTCTGAACCGCGAATAAAATTTCTCAATGATTCAACACGAGAAATTCGTTTTGACTTCGGATGATCAGGTGACGGTGAAAAGTTTAATTTCTGCAAAAAAAGAAATTTATTTTTACAATTTTGTGATTCAAATTTTGTAAATTAAAAATTTTTTCTTCAAATTTATACCTTTTCATTGGAAACATCACCAAGACTTCTTCTATTCGGACTCCAACGTCGTCTTCTTCCCGATCCCGAAAGAATCTCCGAACTTTCCGATCTCTTCAGTTGATCAAATTTCCGACCTAATTTTCTACCCCAGGTTGATATTCCTAAAATTAATTAAAATTTTTAATGAAAATAATCTTTCGACAATTATATATATATATTCTTCCGGCTAAAGATTAACCAATTCTCATTAAATTTTAATCAGTTATAAAAACTTATCTATATATATTTCTGATGAGAGATTGTTCGCTAAACAACGGGAGTTTATTATTACACGAGAAAGCAGTAGACTGATGCATGAAAAATGTTCAAGATCCACGATAATAGATTAGGGAATTGGAATTAAAGAGAGAAATAAATATTGAATTTGTAACGAGAAAATAATTACCTTTACGAGCAGAAAAAGAGGACGAGGAAGAACTTGGTAATGTTCCATCTTCTTGTGATGATGTTGGTGATCCCACATCATCAATGTCACTTTTTGTTTCTCGAAGAACAAAATCCGGTGAAATCGACGTTGCCGATACCAATTCAGGGCTTGGATCTTCTGATCGTCTCTTGAATAATCGCATTCTGGCTGAAATATCAAAAATTAGCAAAATTAGTATATAGTAAAAAAAATCATTTATTGAAATTATCGTTTCGTTTTCGTTTATGTCCTCAAATAGAGGTTTAGATTATTTTTTAAACTTTTATGATTTTGAATAGTAAAAAAAAATATTTGCCACCCCAATTTTTTTGCGAATAAAAAATTTTCCATCGGTTTTTTTTTTTGAAAAGAAGGCAATAAAAACCTTATGGAATATAACTCAGATTTATGAGTTATGCGAATATATCCCTTTAGTTGTAACTGCTCGCGCGCGCAAAAGGATTCTCTCGATCCCGACAAAGATGAGAAAATTTTGCGTTGGTAGCAAATGTACTTGGGTTTTGAATAGCTATATAGGAGGGATAAGAATTCCTGGAGTTTAAGCAAGCCTCTATACAATCCCTCTGTCCACCCATAAGACATAGGAGTCTCTCTCCTACTTACGACCTACTATCACGAAACCACATTCGCTATATGGGTTTACGATGCAGTATTAATATATCTGGGTAGTGTACTTGCAATGGTATATAAATATCCTATCAGTTATTTTACACATATACACAAAGAATGAGTTTGTGTTGTATAGTGTTCTTGGCCTCGGGAGATATATAATATTGGAGAGCTCAACGATCGCTTTGCCTCGAGGGCAAATCTCGTAAGACTTCCTTCTTGGACTATGCAAAAACTCAACAAGCGCCAAACGGCCTTCGAAGCCAGTTTGCTTGCTTCGACCTCTTTCATCGTGAGGCTATTGGCTATCGAGTGTAGCTTAATTAATCAGATGCTTGAGTTTTATAATTTCACTCCTTCTTGCTTCCATTTTAAAACTATCGCTTCTTGCGAGAGACTCGATTTTCCTATATCAAGAAATTAGCGACACAATTTTTTTTTTTTTTTTTTTTGGACGAAGGCGTTGACCGTAAATTGCCACTTTCTTTTATAATATCGCTGATAGTGAACTTGAATTATTAGGGGAAAGTTGCAGATTGAACGGAAAATCAAGGTGAAATGTTCTTAAACTTTCTACAAATGTTATGATGAAGATAAAAAGTGATCAATATTTCTTGTACGAAAAATAATTTCAAAGAAATCGTGAAAATTTTAGAAAAAAATTTTTTTGTTCTAAATTGAAAAAAAATAGGAGTCCTTTTTATTAATTTTAGAAAAAAGAAATTAAATAACCAAAATTTTTAAAACTCGCTCAATAGAACAGGATGTGGAGACAAGGAAAAAAAGTCCTGCACTCAGAAAAAAGATTTCTTTTATAAAGTAACTTTTACTACTTTCAGAGTAAAACTGGACCAACTCGAAGTTTCTGCGCATCTCTGGCAATTTTTACTCCAAAAATAGTAAAATTTACTCTAGAAATAGTAAAACTTACTACAGAAATAATAAATTTTACTATTTTTGGAGTAAAAATTGCCAGAGATGCGCAGAAACTTCGAGTTGGTCCAGTTTTACTCTGAAAGTAGTAAAAATTACTTTTTCTTTTTCTCCGTGTATGTACCATTTTTTTTATATTTACCCAATTTTTTGGTTAGTTCAAACTTTAATTCAACTAAATATTTATTTGATCTAAATAACTGTTTGTTTTATTTTAATAAATTTTTTGAACAAAGAAAAATCCCTGCGTGAAAATTGCACTTGTATCTCAAATCACACAAGATTCTTCTGATTCGTGGCACGAAAAAAAAAAAAAAGATTCGCAACTTTACAAACAAGTCCAATTTAGATTCTAGCAGTGCGCGTATACCTTGGATATTTAGACTTGGAGCGAGACTATCGAGCTTATCTAATTTAAAGAAAACCAAATAAAGAAACTGTTTAACAATAATTTAAACTAATTCTCATTAGTAAAATTTCATTTTTTTTTAAAAAAAGTGATACGAGAACCACTTTAATATTGGCATCAAAATTTTAAAAAAAATTTTAATTTTGTTAATTCAAAAATAAATTTTTGTTTTAAAAAAAAAGTTCTATTTTTTTTCCTATAATATAAGAGCTCATTAATAAACTGTTAGCTAGTTTCAAATTACATGTGAAAAACTAACGACGACGACGACCCTCATTAAATATTTTTATCATTGGTAAAATCAGAGAGATATTAGACTTCTTTCAGCCCTTATAGAAGAAACGTTTAATTAAATCTTAAAAAGACACATAGTCTCTCTCACACACAAAGAACAATAAAAACCTTCATTAGTTTATCCAAGTAATTAAAAGTTTGCTGAAGCAAAAGACAGTTAACTGACCGAAAACATCCGCTAATCAAATCAACGCATTACGTGCGTAGAAAGCATTTTAATCGCGAAAAAACTAGAGCAAGTCGAATACCCCGGTTTCAAGACTTACGAGGTGCATCCAGGAAGTTGTGTATAGCGCAGATGCTAAAAATATATAACCCCTATGCTTCTATAAGAATTCCCAGCCAAAGTTTCTTTTTTTGAGTCTTCTTTCTAAAAACCAGATGACTCGTGTGTGTGTGATCCCGTGGGATTTCTTAACTTTCGCCAGAAATTTTCCCATATTTTATTTTTCTTTTCAAAACAATTTTTTTTGATCGAAAAAACAAAATTCTCCCACGATGAAAAATTTCAAATTTTTTGAAAATTTTCAAAATATTGCAAATAAGAATACTTTATTCATTCAAAAGGAATATATACGCACACGTAACGGTTTAAGATCATAGGTGATGGGAGATGCATTACAGTTAGTTATACTCTTGCGAGAGCTGATTTTTGAACCGCATTTAACTGGCGATATATAACTTAGAAAACCGTTCGCACGTGACTAACTTGAAACACAAAAGAAATAATTGGAGATGATACAATGATTAATAACCAATTTTGGTACATGAGTATAGAGATTAATGAAACTTTTATTCATATCTTAATCTTAAGGAACAATCGATAATTATTTTTGACTCAATATTACCATATGTTATAATTAAGTAAATTGACTCTTATTTTATAAAATTAGTCAATTAACCCATATTATATATACATATATTCATTATTTGGAATATAATAATTATTTATCCAATGATAGAACCTAAGGATATTTATTTGCAATTATTTTAATAGCGCGAGCGTCTAAAATTCATATGAATCTATCATGGATTAATTTACAAATTGAAAACTTGATTCACCGTACAAACCGGTTTTATCATCGGGTCATTGATTTTCAATTTTATATAAAATAACGATTTCTGTTTTTTAATAGTCGAAATTGATCCTGGTTTCATTATTTCTTTACTATTAATAGAGAAAACATTTTTTTTTATATATTTTGTTATAAACATATTTTTCTAAAAAAAATGTAATCAGAGGCAATTAAAAAGGTTACACTATAAAGAATAATGAGCAAAAAAAAAAGTTTATATGTATATTAACGGAAAAATAAAATCTCGAGAGTCACCTTCTGTATGCGAGAATCTGTGTCAAGACAAGAGAACACTCGAGGACGATCCTGGCAACAGTTTTACTTTCTACAAGATGGACTTTATAAATATAAAAAAAAAATTTAAAAAAAAACACGGAACAGCAAACTAACGACCGAAATATCGCGGCACAATTTTCTCACTCACATTCTCTATTACTTCGCGCGTACTATTAACTTCGTATTCACCGTTAAAACAGTACTTGAATCTTTATAAATATGCAATATAATGTAAATTATAAAATACGCAAAAAAACAAATGCTTCTCCCAGAGGGGAAAAATAGAAAATTAACCATCATAAATAAAGAAAATCTGTAATTATTAAAAAAATTACAAACAAAAGAAAGATTTGAAATAAATATTCTAGCATAAATTTTTATATGCGGGAAAAAAATTGTTGCGGTGGATAAAAAAAAGTAAGTCAATACAATAAATATTTGTTTTATCCCCAAGACAAATTCCGTGACTAATCATGCGAAATTACTTAATTCATTGTTACAACTTGTCAATAGTAAAATAGTCGCATTTATTTCTGCATTGAGAAATTTTACTCCCAACTTCTTTTTCATTTTACATTCTAAGCCTAAAGCTATCATTCGCCTCAATGCCATTTCAAAGAAGAGAAACACCTGTGTCTTGTATATTTTTAAAAAGCCGCGCTCATATAATATTAACTTTAAAGTGAAAATCTTCCGAGAGATTTTTGACACCGTTTTTTTAAGTATATACTTAAATAAAAAACAGTGTGAAAGATATTTTCATTATTTTAAATTCTATTTTTGAATGAAAAAATTCAAAAAAATATTTTTTTTTACAAAAGAGATTAAAATACATTTTCAAAATTTTATCACCTATACACACAAAAGATGGAAAATATTCTTGAATGAATTTAATTAAAAATTGTGGTGTACTTTTGAATATGTTCCAACAATTGTTCGATTCTTTATACGCGTGAGAATTTAAAGAATATAATATTCAAGAGCCAATAGAAGTTGAGAAAAAGAGAAAGAAAGAAAGATGGGGAAAGAGAACAATCAAGAGAACTGTAGGTTGGAACCCTGGCAATGAAGTACTATAGCAAACCGTAAGTTCGTACAAATGTAAACTCCAGGTAAAAGATTCTGGGATTACTTTCAGAAAACGAGGGTGGATCACTTGAAAAAAAAAATCCCTTTTTGCCTTACGACCTCAGAACTTATTTGTCTCGACCACTTTTATTTTCTTTTCACAAAATTTCAATATTCGCAGATCATTTTTCTTCCACTTTCTCTAAAATTTAAAACAGACTAAAATTTAAAACCGTGACATTTTTTTTTTTCAACCTTTCCTATGAATTATTAATTTTGCTATTCTATACTTATTTCAAAAAATAATAATCGAAAAAAAAATGAACTTTTTTTTTTTGCAAATAATTCCAAGTAACCTCATTTCGTAATAACGTGTGTGTGTCCTTTCAATGCCCTAAAATGGTAATAATTTTTTTTTTTTTCGCCAAAGGTAAAATGGGTGGCTCAATATTCCCCATACGAAATTCAAGTTAAATTTATGATACGATCAAAGAAGGGAAACTTGGATGCTGTACGTTCCAAGGCTAATTTTTTACGGCACTATACACTAATAAATATTCGAGTTAAAAAGACACTCTTCTTTGCAGGGGAAATAATAAATTCTCTGATTTAGTTTTGCTTTCGCGTAATAATTGAAAAATATGTAATATAAGAAAAATTATATTATCTAAGAGAGGATAAAATTACGCCAAGAAGGTATTGCATGACAAGGTTACATTCCTCTCTTTTAAAGAGCGATTTTCCACTTATCATTATTAAATAATTAAGAAGACTTAATTTATTTCTTAAAAAAAATAAACATATTCATTTATTTTTTTAAAAAAAAGAAAACTTTTATTTTTAAAAAAAATATTTTTCTGTTATTTTTATGAGAAATATTAGAAAGTAAAAATAATGGCAAAAATGGAAATATAACAAAGAAAAAGATAAGATATATATGATCTTTGAAGTTCGATGTCGAGCAAGATTCAATCTCGTTGAAGGATCTTTGATGGCTTTCTTTGATTTCTTTTCTTTTCCTCCTTCTTATATTCATCTCATTTTATTTTATTCACTTTTTTTCTGAATCCTAACCAGCATTGATCGACAAATCGAACATATATATAGAGTGATGCTGTGATTTCTGGACCAAACAGAAAGCTTTCTCTTATGTATTGATTGCAACATAAATGATCTTTTAACAACAATTAAAAGAATTTTAAAAGTCTCTCATCAAAAATATTACAATTAACTTATAATGACTGTTAATCAACGCCTGATCATTGCGAAACTTTTTCTCTTCTCTCATCATCATTATCGGAAGAAGAAGAAGAAGTATTATTAATAACACTCTATATGATAATGATGAAAGTGGAAGTTTAGTTTTAGAATTTAATACCCGCGGAGAGAGTCATTAAGATGGTCATTATTTCTTCTCAGATAATTACAATTTTTAACCCGTTTAATGTTGGGCCATAAGAAAAAGAAAAATTCTAGACAATATTTTCAATGAGGATGGAGGGGGGGGGTTTGCTTTCAAGAATCCAAGTTTATAGTTAGCTATTTCGTACCGGAAGAAATGAATATAGCATACTAATCGTCAATAAAGCGAATTCTATGTTACAAGGATATGATTAAAAACAGTTTCACTGACGGTTTTTCTTAATTAGTACGAGAAAATCGTTTACAAACTTATAAAGAGTAGACAAAAAGTCATTAAAATGATGTAAAATGTCTATTAGTTAACAATTGTTATTGCAAGAGACAAATTGAAAAAAAAACATGGAAAGTGAAAACAAAAAAGGCTTTTAGTGAATGCTTTCAAAAAAAAAAAAAATATTAGTCTATATATTTTAAGTCCCGATAATTATTATCTTTTAATTGAAATGCATATAAATTACATTTAGTTTCTCTTCTTAATCAGAATTAAAAAAAAAATTTACGACAGTTTTCACATATATTTATAACTAATATTGATATTTTCTCTCTGAAATGAATATTTTCTGAATCGATAACTCTTGATTAAATTGCTACTCTCTAAATTGATACTTAGCAAAAATTAACTGACCTTTTAAATTATAGAGTAGATTCTATCTTGTTCTTATTACAAACCTTTTATGTTTTCAATTCCCTTAGGAAAAAAAAGAAAAAGAAAAGAATTAGAAACATATATGGGAGTGCTAAATAACTATGGGAACATCTATACACTTTCCCATATCATTAATTCCCGCAATCAAGCGTAACTTGTGAACATGTTAAACAGACAGTGACGAGACAATAAAATTGTCAATAATGACAACTCCTTTTATGAACATCTAAATCTGATTCTTTCTAAATCACTATAATAATTGGTCCATATTTCAAACTTTTGCAATTAATTAAAAAGTTAAACCCATCAATTTAAATCCTATTGTCTTTTATAAACTAGAAAATTAACCAAATTGGAAAGAAATAGTCTCCAATAACTAAGGTAACAGTGTAGGAAGATTATTATTTTCTTTCAACTGTCCTTTATACATCTAAAAATACGTTGTCGTCATGTTTTTCCAACGGATAAAATCATGTTTTCAAGAAATCAAAATGGGGAAAAATTCAGTGAAGCTTAAAGAAACAAATTGACCCCGATTTTTTATGGTTCATAACCTCAACATCAGGTCAAAGCTTAACTAACAGATTTAACCCAAAACTATAACATATAGTATGTATTTGGTGATGTGTTTAGAGAGATAAATTTTGAACTATAAGGGAAAGGAAATCGAATCGCTAAGGTCTCGCGTTAACAAAAGCTTATAACTTTAAGGGGGAAGAGGAAAATTTTCAGGTAGAATTTCGTTTAAGGGAAAAATATATTGGACATAAGAAATTATTTTTGCCAGAGCTGAGTAAACGAATATTTCTTTTCAATATTCGGATATAAAAATCGTTACAAATTATCAATAATTTATTTTTATTATTAAAATCCCTTGAGAAATAGCTTGAGAACGAGAAATGTAAAAAAAATACATTGAAAACATTTTCTTTTATGAAAAGAAAGATTTTCAAATACAACAATTGGAAAATTCATTGTATTTTCTAAAATCAATTTTTTTTTTTGAGAAAATAGAAAAAACCATGAGGAAAAAATTTATTCTCCAATACCAAATTTTGATAAAATTATCGAATTTATGAAAAAAAAAATTATTAAATATACCAACTTTTGATAAAATTATCGAATTTATGAAAAAAAAAATATTAAATATCCAATTAAGAGGTCTTATTTCGAAGAAAAAAAATTTCCTATCTTAAAATAAAAATACACATCTGGAAAATTAATATTTTTGTCCGTTCTTCAAGGACAATATAAAATTTCTCGCTTCTCTTTCTTGTTGCAATTTTGAATGTCGGCGAGAAGTTGTAAAGTTTCACTTTGACAATAAATAATATTTCTGAAGGATAATTTTGGTTTTCTGAAATGGTTCTTGCTTTTGTATTTACAAGTCCCGAACAAGTTCTGTCTGCGACGAAGGACAATGGATTTTGAGTGAGAGTATATAAGGGCCTTGTTGACCCAGGTAGCAACGCCCAAGTAATAAACTTTTAAGATGGCCTCTGGATATAAACAGAAACTAAATACCAAATTTGAATTTTGGAATATTACAAACATATGATGAAAACGTGTAAATTTTCACTCACTGAGAATTATAAATATAAACCCCAAAAAGTGGGCCTTCCCCAAATATGTATTCTTTTTTTTTTTTTATATATACACATATTTGTAAAACAGATTTTGCAAAGGGATCCATAAATATTTAAAATAAATATAATAAAATTCTAATGTAGAAAATAAATAAAACCATAAATTTCAATAAAAAAAGAATAAATTAAAAAAAAAAACATTTTAATAAAATATTAATTCTTCATTGAAGTGATAAAAATAATGTTTAAAAAAATAAAGAGCTGGAAAAATTTTTAATTGCGAAACAATTAAAAGATTATTTAAAATCTAAAATACATTCTCGTTGTTCTTCATTATTAATAATTAATAATAATAATAATAATAATTGAGAATATTTGAAATTATCTCATGTCAATTGATTAAAAAGTAGAGAAAAATTAATTGACTATAATATATTTCTTTGAAAAATGCGATGATAAAGAGTTGGAAGATTCACATTTTTCAAGGTTGAAAGATCTTCGGCGTCTTTTATTGCGGTTCAATTCTCAGTGTACACGCATTATATTTGAAGGACATAAACATTTGAAACATAATTTCAATGGGTTATCAACAGTAATACAAAAATGAAAACAAAACACAATGATGAAAACAAATACAAAAATTTTCAGTTCAATGAAAAGTTTTACCAATTTCTTCATAGAATAAAAAATAAGAAAAATTAAAAAAAAATGTAAAACTGACATTGTCAATAATATTATATTATAATATTACAATTTACTTTTCGTTCTTTTATTGAGAAAAAAAACGCGCGATATTTTTAAAATAAAGGAGGCCAATGCATTTCTATCTCCACCTCAATAAATGGAACGAAAAGTAAAGCGTGAATTATTCCAAATTTGGAAAAAAAAATTACGTAAATAGATGGAGAAACTTACCTCTAAGAAAGGTTAGCTTTCAGACTCGTACATAATCCAGATAAACTTTTCAGCAAAAAAAAAAATCACTTTTTTTTTAGAAAAACTCAAAAAAATAAATAAAAAAAAAAAGGAGACTTTTGCACAAAATAGTTTCACTGATCACAATATTTTTTTTTTGTTGTTGCTATTGTTGATAAATAAGAAAAATTTAGACGAATAAACGGACGACACTACTACCACGTGTTGCTAGTCGAGCACTTCTCTTGCGACTGAGTTGTGTGTCGAATTGTGTCCAATTCTCGCTCAGTGCCTCAGCAGAGATACACGTGGGCCGAAGGGTAGGGGGTTCATTAGACAGGGTCGACATTCAGTGAATAGAAAAAATAAAACCCTCACTAAATTAACCGAACACACTTATATCTTTGATGAAAACTATTTCCCATGCTTATCAGTTGTAAATCACAGCGGGTCTAATCAACCACAAATCAGTGGCGAAATTGCTTTCGCAAAAAAAAAAAAAAAAACAAAAATTATCTTCAGACTCATAAAAAAAAATCTTTTATTCGAAAAAAAAGATAAAACTAAAATGTAAAAATATTTAAAATTATTTTTTTATAAACATTATTCATATACTCTCTAAATCTGAATTAGTAAAAATGATTACTAATTTAAATTAGTGACTCACTTTTTGCTTTAGAATTAGTTAAATTTTACTAATTATTAGTAAAAGTTACTAATAATTAGTAAAATTTATTTTAATTAGTAAAAACTAATTTAAATTAGTGACTCACTTTTTGCTTTAGAATTAGTTAAATTTTACTAATTATTAGTAAAAGTTACTAATAATTAGTAAAATTTATTTTAATTAGTAAAAACTAATTTAAATTAGTGACTCACTTTTTGCTTTAGAATTAGTTAAATTTTACTAATTATTAGTAAAAGTTACTAATAATTAGTAAAATTTTACTAATTTAGAAGCAAAAAGTGAGTCACTAATTTAAATTAGTAAACATTTTTACTAATTCAGATTTAGAGAGTACATTGAGAAAAAAGATTGGTTGGGGTTACCATTTTTAGTTAGTAAACTACACCCAGAGAAAAAATTTATTAGTTTTGAATAAAAACGTATATTTAAATCATTTTTATTTATTTCAAATAAATATTTTATTTAAATTAAATAAATAAATGTTTGTTTGAAATTGTCGTATATGTTTCTTACAAATAAACAATTTTATTAGTACTTTTTAAAAAGGTACATTTGTGGCAAATAAATAATATATTTAATTCAAATAAAAGTTTATGCGAATTCAACGCAAGCATGCGCAGAATACTGTATACGATATAACTTTAAAGATGTCGGACGTAGTGAAAACGAGGTGACATATTAACGCGACCAAGCAGTTGTTTGTACAAGGATTGATTATTATTTGATTAAAACAAATACTAATTTCTGGATAATTAAAGAAATGTTTTAATTCGCGAGTGTTTATTAATTAAATCACACTTTCCTTTTATTTTGAGTGCCTTTCTCCCTGTTGTGTCTCAAATGTGAAGCAGAATTCAAATCAACTTATCATTGACACAGAGAAATGGAAATTGTTATGTTTCAACAATATCCACGGAACATATACAAAAAAATAAACACGAAATGTAAAAATTTAAGATTTTCAATTTGAATCATAAATTTTAATTATATCAATTTCAGAATATTTGGCTGAATACCAGGCAATTTTGCAATTAAATTTATTACATTCAAAACTTTTTATTTATTTGTCCTAAATATAAAATATATTTGTAGCAAATAAAAATTTATTTGTCTCAAATTTAAATATAAAAATTTATTTGAGACAAAGAAAACTTTAGTAGGCTCTGAGACAAATATCCATTTTTATTTAAGTCAAATATATTTTATTTAATTCAAATAAAACATTTCTCTGGGTGTATGCTGCTAATTAGTTGTTACTATTTTTATTTGGCATAACTATTTTATTAGTTGGTCTTTCTAATTAATTGGTTGGACTAACTATTTAGTTACCTTACTAATGAAATAGTTAGGCTGACTAATTAAATGGTTAACTAATATATAAACAAAAATACTTTTACTACACGGAAAAAAAATTTAACTAAAACAGCGAAACGTTTCACTATAGTAGCAAAAATTTTACTTGTTTCAGTTAAATCTTTCGCTATTCTAATAAAATCTTTCGCTGTTTCAGGTAAATATTTTTTTCCATGTAACGAAATGGTAATCGCAACCAATCGTTTTTCTCAATACTATTTTATGCAGGGCTGTATCAAGGGTATACAAAGGTGTCAAATTTTTTAAAATTCCAATTTTTTAATTTTAAAATTCGATTTTTAAAATAGCTTGTAATTATCGGTTAATGAGAATTAATTACCTCATAAAACGTGATGAAATTATTTGTAATTTTTAAATTTTTCTGAGAAAAAAAAAGTAAAAAAATAAAATATAATCAAATTAAATTGGATTTTAAAATGTCTGAATTTAATCTGAAACTGAAAAAATATGCAAAAAATGTTTCACGAATTTTATAAATTTATATATATATTTTGCAGGAAAATGTAATTTTGCTACAAGTACAGAATTTACATATTCGTGATTATAATGTTATTTAAATAAATAATGTCTTTTGCGTACCCGTGACCTTTTGAAAATTTTTTCAAATAATATCTTATTTCCCTTTCTATGTTAAAATTTTTAGAAAATTATCCCAACATAAAGTAAATTATCGAATTTTATTATATTACATGATATTGTATATATATTGAGAAACATTTTTTTTTTTCTTCAAAAAATCAAGCTCATTTTTCAAACAACACATAATAAATGTTCGCGTGTGTGGGAGGTACATATATAGAGATACGCGAAAAATCTCGCAAATGCAATACATTTAATATATATATTCTTAATTTCTTATATAACAAGCAAATTCTGCATATATTCTAATTTTGTTATTTATATTCAGTTAAAATGAATCTCGTAAACTTGTAAAGAAACAGAATGAGACTTGTTGCGTGCTTGAAGCGCTAAATATGTGAAGATAATAAATTTCCGTTAATTAATATTCAATAAAAATAATAATAATAATAATAATAATGTTTGTACTCGCAATTCTGTATTCCTAATTTAAGCGTGTCATTAAATTGTCCATATATACAAGTGCCTTTAATTTGCACATAGTAATTAATTTACACAACTTATTTGCTCGAGAGTGAAAATGTCACTGATTCGACAATTTTCTTTACTAATTAAGAAACATTTATTTACCAATCGAATCAATTAGGAATTTGATATAAATATAGTGGCACCGCTAAACTTTCAGAAATTTTTATTTATTATTAATGGATATTTTAAATAAAAATGTCAACTAATTTCAAATTAGTACTCTCTAAAAATGTTTACTAATTTGAATTAGTGACTCACTTTTTGCTTTAGAATTAGTTAAATTTTACTAATTGTTAGTAAAAGTTACTAATAATTAGTAAAATTTTTAGTATTATTATTATTTATTAGTAAATTAGTTAAATTTTACTAATTGTTAGTAAAAGTTACTAATAATATAGTAAAATTTAACTAATTCTGAAGCAAAAAGTGAGTCACTAATTCAAATTAGTAAACATTTTTACTAATTCAGATTTAGAGAGTACAGTAAAATTTTCTTACTAATTCATTAGTTTTTTTTTTAAATTGTATATACGAATTTTTGTTACTTCTTAATTTTTTTTTCCTATTTATTTACACTTTTTCTAAATCTGAATTGTGAAAAATTTTAACTAATTAGTGATTTGCTATTGAATGAATTAAAATTTACCAATAAATTAGTGAAATAATTTTATTTTTTACTAATTCATTTTTAAAAATTATTTGATTCTATCCGTTATACTTATTGAACATTGGAATTTAAAATAGAAAATGTAATAAATTCATAATTATTACATAGAAAAAAAAAAATGTCACTTTCGTTTCAGAAAATAATTGTTCATGGATCACTGAATATTTTATTTGCATAAAGGTGTTTTAAACTACGAGTAAAAAGAATATATATATACAGTATATAGAAAAAGAGTTGAATTCTATAAGGGGTGGTTCACGCTCCACTGGTCAGAGAACAAAACTCCTTGGAGTTTTCTCCTATGCAATAAAAAGAGGAGAATGTCAGTAAGCAATAATAAAACGTTGCCATTGTAATGGTACTTCCTGTATCACTTGCGAACTTCATTTTTCAAATTTATCTTCATATTAACATAACAAAATTCTTTAATATATCGACTAATTTATTTTCTAGTAGAAAATAATTTTTTTCCAGTTTCTAACTTTTTTTGTAAAAAAAAAAAATTTAATTAAATAAATAATTTAATCAATATTTTTTTTTTCGAAAAATTATACAATTTGGAAAATTTTATAATGAATAAGAATCAAAAATGATCTGGTGAATTCACAGGGATTGATAAAATTGCAAGACGCGTCTCACAATTTATGATGATTACTCGCCCACGTATATCGATTACATTTTCTTTGTATTATAATGCGTATTTAGCGTATGCATATATATGCACGTCGTTAGAAAGTGTATATATATATATATAAATATATTCGAGAAGAGCAACAACTATCAACTACTGACTTCGAAAAAGAAGCTGCGAGAAGGAGAGTGGAAGGTATCAGGTGAAACAGGTTCGAGGTTCGAGATTCATTCACATTTCACAACCTTGAGCACAGTAAAATGCATCCTGATATATCAGGGGATTTTATATATATATATATATATATATATATATATATATATATATATATAAAAACCTCACGCTCATAAATATATCAAACGAAGTATCTAATTGTTGAGCGCTGCGAAAAAATATATCCGCTTTATTTGAAAAAACAATACCCATCGTGGAATATGCGTAATTATATACCTTATTCGCGCGAGAATAAGCGTGTACAATTATTCAGGAAATAAACGATTTGGATATTTTACATTGTGCTTAGAAGATATCTTCGTTTCAAAAGGTTTTATTTTCTTCCCTAAAAAATTTTTTTTCTTTTCATCAAAGAAATTTTTTTTTTGAAACTACACTGAAAAAAAAATTTATTTGATTCAAATACTCGATTACTTGACTATTATCAAATAAATATTTATTTGTATCAAATAATTATTATTTGAGTCAATTAAATGGTATTTGTTTCAAGTACAGAAATTATTGGTTCAAATACAATTTATTTAATTCAAATAAAAATTATTTGGTTCAAATAAATATTTATTTGATAATACTC